GCCACCAAGGAGTTGTTTAACTGCCTCAGTCACCTCACCCCTGGAAATTGGCGGGTCATCCCCCTCATTCCCAGACTCTGCTTCCTACTTGGAAGACGTGTCAGTGGGATTAAGGAGGTCCAGGAAGTATTCCTTCCACCGTCTGACAATTTTCTCAGTCAAAGTCAGCAGCGCTCCACGGCAGGCACCAATTACCTTGTGGCCGCAGCTCAATGCAGCAGCTTCGGCAATGGAGACGCTGAACATGGTCCATTCGGACTCAATGTCCCCAGTCTCCCTCGGAATGCTGTTGAAGCTCTGCCGGAGGTGTGCGTTGAAGATCTCACGGACTGGGGCCTCTGCTAGGTGTTCCCAGCACACCCTCACTACGCATTTAGGTGCACCGAGTCTATCCAGCGTCCTCCCCCGCCACCTGATCGATCTCACCACCAGGTGGTGGTCAGTTGACAGCGCAGCCCCTTTCTTTACCTGAGTGTCCAGAACATATGGTCGCAGGTCTGGTGATACGATTACAAAACCGATTGTCCTGGTGGCACGTGCACTTATGGACACTCTTATGTTCGAACGAGGTGTTCGTTATGGCCAAACTGTGATTTGCACAGAAGTCCAATAACAAAACACCGCTCAGGTTCAGATCAGGGAGGCCTTTCCTCCCAATCATGCCCCTCCAGGTCTCGCTGTCGTTACCCATGTTTTTCATAACTGATGAAGATGGAGTGTGATTGGTGGAGGTTGGTGGCCTGCTGTACTCCTTTTTCAGTCATCTCAGAAAAATCCAGAACATTTCATAAGGTTTAAGAGTCTCAGCAGGAAATGAAAATGTCCTCCTCAGCTGCTTCCACTGTCAGCACATGACAACAGATACCAAAATTCGCATGTTTTGTTTGTGTGTGTGTGTGGTACCTGTGATGGGGCTGTTGTGGGAGAGTCCTGGGCTCCAGCTGAGAGTCACACTGACCCCCTCAGCATTAGACAGAGTCAGACCACTGGGAGGGTCCGGTTTTGCTGAGAGTACAACAGAAAACAATTAGAGCCACAGTCCACACACACACACACACACACACACACACACACACACACACACACACACACACACACACACACCTATGACAGTGATGGAGCCCTGTGCAATCACGTTGTCCACTTTAGTGATGACCTCACAGGAATACTCCGTGCTGTCATTTAATTGGACGTCTGTCACTTTCAGCGTGTTGTTCTTGAAGAAGGTGTACCTGCACACACACACGAGCACACGTGTAATTCTGTGTAACAACAACAGTACAAGTCATTTATTTCTGCACCCTGACAGAGACATGCAGACCTCCAGTTCAGAGCTGAGGAACTCAGATGTTTCTTGGATGGTGACACCTGAGAGCTGCTGTAATGTTCTCTCTCTGTGTTGAGAGTCATGAACATTTATCGACGATGCTGCATTTCAAAGTATGCACTTTTACTACATTTTGGTTGTTTTTCATTCACAGACATAAACTTTTGTGGTATTAATAGCTGTACAAGTATGTTTGGCAACTCATTTCAGGGTCCAGCATCCATCATGCAGTCCATTCAGGTGCTTCCCATAAAGGATCGAGTCTTGTGATCAGACATGTCTGACCTGTTCTGAAGGTCAGTCCTCTGAAGAAGCAGCTGATGATATGACTCAGTTATTTATTTTTTCCCAAATTAAGATGAAAATGAGTCACTGGGATTATTTAATTATTAGGAAATTTGTGAGTGTGTCATTTTGGGGATCACATAGATAAGTACATTCACCATGAAGGTCTTTAGATTTCTGCTCTCAGAAAGAG